CAGAACGTGACAGTTGGAGAGAATTTGGCATACACACAGAGAGGTATCAAATAAAGACCAAACAGCATTGCCCCATGGGTGAATATGTGCAAGGAAGGTTTTTCCCAAAGATGGGCATAAAGCTAAGGCCAAACCTCTATAGCTCAGGAATTTCAGACCCAATTGTGCAACCAGCAAATGTAAGGAGATTCCTCAAAAACGGGAGAACTAAGTTTGAGGATTTCTCTCGCACTTTAAGTGACACACCCATGGGAATCTCAATCTCCTAATGACAAAACAGCATTTTTCAAGGGTAACAATTTCGAACGGGATGTAATTTTTAAAGCCTCCAAAAGAAGCTGGAGATATAAAAGGGAAATTAAGGAGGTTAAATGACACGTTCAGGGTGTGGAACAAAGAAAAATGGAACCAAGATTATCCAATCTGCTCACTGGGTACCAACTATCTTTCATGGTCATAAAGGAGTACAGTACATACAGTTCTCTCCTCCCTGAAGGAGAGCATATGGAGTCTAGCAGTTTTCAATAAATGACATAGGAATGGGATGAATTAAAGAAGATACGAACGTTCTTTTGATCAGCAATAAAGTCACTAACACAGCATACTACAGAAAGTACTCTTGTTCGGTTGTAGGCTCCTGCTTTATACAACTGGCATGGAGTGTTGAACCAAGAAGTTTCCAGTGATGACACTCTTTGCCGAAAGGGGAGTCATGCTGACCAAGAATACAAATCGTTGTCATCCTAATTCTCAAATTCTTGCTTAAAAACAAAACGCAACATCTGTTGTGGGCAAGCAATTATTTCTAAAAGCTCATCTCCTCCTGTTTAAAGTCCTGTTACTCCAAGAAACTCTCTCATTCAAGATACTAAACCAATGAATGACAGATTAAGGGTGCCATTAGAAAGAAATATTCATTCTCAAGATCGGATGGTGCTATTCAAACCAGCATTTATTACCATCCCCAATTATTCTGCGAATGTGCTGATGCAGGTCATTCCTGGTTTTATACAATTTACTGGCTTGGAAAAACCCTTTAAAGGCCAGTTAAAGTCAACCACTTTGGCTGGGAATCAAGTTGCACACAGACTCAGACCAGGAAAGGGCAGGTACAGACTTAAAGAAGTTTATTTACTTAAAGAACTTCAACGAAGCAGTTGGTTTTTAAATGATAATCCAACTGTTTCAGGCTCACTTTTACAAATTCCAGCCATATATTTTCAGTATTTTTGTAAAAATTGAATGAAAGTTCTCCGGTTGTCGTGTTTATGTTTGAATTTCTGTTCTATGGATGATTAGTCTATGAACTTGGGTTATTAGTCTGCTAATTTTGCGATGTAATGAGGAAGAAAGTAAATGTCTTACCTGTATAAGGTCCTGTTTCTCTTTTTCTCCTAAAGTAATTGACTTTTTGATCATTCTCAGCTCATTCATAATTTCCTGTGCTTCATCCAGTTTATAGTTGGTTTGACTGTCAGACATTTTACGGTCAATCCTGAATCAAAAGAAGGAAATATTTCAACAATGGCTTTTACTTTTCTCCCCTTTGTGCGTTAGCATTTTTTTTTAAAAGCCTATGGGAACAATTTGCAAGTTTCAGTAATAAAATCCCCAATTGCAGTTTGAGCCACTTTTGAGAAAAACCGTCGCAACCACTAAATTAACAGGTTTGCTGACAGTCAGTGCTAAAGAGGATTGTTGCAATGTTACTTTTCCATTGGACGGTTTAACGATATCAAAGGCACTGGGAGCAAAATAACTCTGTTGTCTAATAGTGTGGCGATGCATTTAGTAAATTCAGTGTTTGGGATCAACACGTCAAAACCAGCCATGACAAATTGCAATACGGGCCATGGCACAGAGATAAAGAAGACTCAATTTTCAAAGAAACAGTTTAGCATGGGTTTATTTAAGAGGACTGATCAAATTCTGAACGTCCTAAAACAATCCAGTTCCTCAAAAGAATGCAATTCCACAAAAATCACACATTTACCTCTAAGATGGAGGAAGTCATGATCGTCTGTCCTGACTAGAGGAAAAACTGAAATAAATAACAGCCAAACACAGTATTGCTTTGTGCTTTACATGGCCCATATCCCTGTAACCACTTCCTATTCATGTACCCAACCAGATGCCCTTTAAATGTTGCAATTGTACCAGCCCCCACCACTTCCTCTGGCAGCTTCATTCCATACACGCACCACCCTCTGCATGAAAGTGTTACCCCTTAGGTCCCTTCTAAATTTTTCCCTCTCACCTTAAACCTATGCCCACTAGTTTTGGACTCCCTTAGCTGTGGAAAAGACCTTGCTGTTCACCTTATCCATGCCCCTCATGATTTTATAATCCTCTATAGGGTAACCACTCAACCCCCAATGCTCCAGAGAAAATAGCCCCAGTCTATTCAACCTCTCCCTACAGCTCAAACCCTCCAAACCCAGCAACATCCTGGTAAATCTTTTCTGAACCCTTTCAAGTTTAACAACATCTCTCCTAAAGCAGAGAGGCCAGAACTGAGTGCAGTATTCCAAAAGTGGCCTAACCAATGTCCTGTACAGCCACATCTTGACATCCCAATTCCTATACTCGATGCACTGGCCAATAAAGGCAAGCATACCAAACACCTTCTTCAATACCCAATTCTTTGGGAACTGAAGCCTCCCCATCTGCACCCATTAGTACCCACTCCCTGGAGTTAAACTACCTCCCCACCACACTTTAGAACTGTTCCAGTAGCTTTCAGCCTCAAGTAGCATACAAACTGGCTAAGTAAACTCTGGGTTTTCTAAGCCAATTGATCACAGTTGGGGAAGGAGGTGGGTGAGGAGTCCATGAAGAGATTCTAGGATTCACCAGTTTCAAGATTTCTGTCTGTTGAAGAGAAACATACCTACTCCTTTAAATTTTCTGCACTTTTCTACCTTAGTTTGGTTGTTAACTTTCTGCAATGATAGCAAGCCTCTCTCTCAGATGCCCAAAGTCATCACATGGAACCTAGGATTTCAGACGATGTGTCAATAATCATAAGGGTCCTCTGGAGCGTGCCAACAATTGCAGGGAAAGCCATGCACAGAAAACATGGAAAACCACTGATGTAACACAAAATCACGGTTAGCATGATTCAAAACGTTCAGACTTTTGAACCTCAAGGTCTCATCTCAGAACAGGAAAACCGATCAATCCGTAAAAACACAATGGGAAAGCAGAAGCAAGCAGGAGGAGGGCGAGATCAGTCTTGAGCTTTTTTTGGGAAACTCAACCATCAACAGGGTAGGATGCACTGCTTACAACCTTCTGCCAACTCAACAACACCCGCTTAGCTTCCAGGAAAGTCACAAGGTTAGAGTCTGACGCAACGAGTCAATTAATCACAGACAAAAACAACCTTCCAAATCCCCTAACCCCTCAAGATACTCGGTAGGCTTGTACAGAACATTGTGGAAAAAATAAAGGTGTCTTCCATGCAATGCTGTAGACCAGTATGATGTTTGTTCAGCTCCTCCACTCACAATGCCTTTTAACAAAGACCCTCCTACAGATCGGAGTTAATATTCGCTAATGTCGTTCCCCAAAGACTGACTCTCCCCTCGATTTATCAACGTACTAAGTTGCATTCACTGCAGTCACACAAGTCATTTGAAGTTATTATCTAAAAGAGAATACTGCCTTCAGATTAACCTGTCATAGGCTGTATTTCAAACCTATTTAAAATCGTAAATCAAATCACATAGAAGACATTTTTAACATACTTTAGCCTTTGCTAAAACTCCACAGAATTTAATCATTCTCCTCAGATCCTTCAAAGACCAGGAGAAACACTGCATGGTTTCAGAACCATTAAAGTCAGCTTTTACAAGACTCATATATCCTGACCTCGAAGCCAAAAGCTGTTCCAGAATGTGTGAAAGATATACAGATCTTCAGATTAAAATATGATGCCCGGTTTAGTATTGAAGAGGCTACTGTCAAACAGAAGCACGACTCATAAAACCCAGATCATCCACAAGCCCCCTGAATATTCGGGCTCTCCACAGCTTTTTTGGTCAGTGTAAACATACAGTGTTTGCTTGTATTGTATACCTTATTTTCCTTATTAAGTTGTAACTTTACACCAGCAACAAGCTGTTGGACACCACTGACACTTCAGTGTAACACTCAAGGATTAGGCAGTTACACAAGTGTGAGGGCTCTTGTGGTGCAGTGATAGTGTGCCTACCTCTGGACCAGGAGACCAGGGTTCAAGTCGCACCTGCTCCAGAGTTGTGCAATAACATCTCTGAACAGGTTGATTAGAAAATGTCTACGTGATCTAACAACAAAAAAAAACTTTACTGAAGTAAATGCTCATGAAACAGCCTGGGCTCAATCCCAGGCTGACACTTCAGTACAGAAGGTATGTATGTCAGAGGTACTTCCTTACGAACGAGACACTAAAATAAGATCCATCATGTTTTGTCAGGTTGGTGTGAAAGATCCTGCAATATTGTTCAAAGAACACAGTGGATGGCACGGTAGTTAGCACTGCTGCCTCACAGTGCCAGGGACCAGGGTTCAATTCCACCTGTGTGGAGTTTGCATATTCTCACTGTATCTGGGTGCTTTTCCGGTTTCCTCCCACAGTCCAAAGATGTGCAGGTTAGATACATTAGCCATGCTTATTTGCCCATAGTGTCCAGGGTTGTGTAGGCTGGTGGATTAGCCATGGGAAATGCTGGGCTACAGAGATAGGGTAGGAGGTTGGGTCTGGGTGGAATACCCATCAGAGAGTTGGGGAGACCCGATGGGCCGAATGGACTCTTTCCACAACAAACGGCATGAGTTTTCTGCAGTATCCTGACCAACAATGAAATCTCAACAAAAAACACTAAAACAATGGTTATTTCATGATTCCTTGTGGGACCCTACTGTTCACAGATTGGCTGCTATACTCCAGGCGAGTGTTAAAAGGGATCCAGCTGGCAGCACTTTCACCATTGTAGCACAAGATTCCAAGATCAATTTCTACTCCAGGGCTGCAACATTTAAATCAAGGCTGATGCTCCAGGGACAGGATTACACTGCTGGAGATGCCATGCTCCCGATGAGCATGAAATTCAAGTGCCTAGTTTGACCTCTCACATGGACATACAAGTTTCCTTGGCACTATTTCAAAGAATAGGGGGAGGAGATATCACAAAGAAAAACTGCAAAACTTAACAGAAGAATAGATTATTTATTTAACTACTGAACAGCAACTGTCCCAATATAGTAACATCCCATAAACACACCCTTGGCAAAGGCAAATTCAGTGAAATAGATTGTCTCACGTGCAATGTTTCTCCAGTCCAGGAAGAAAGAACATCAAGAGGAAATTCTGGTAGAGAAACAGGTATGGCAGCTTCCACTACCAACTTCAAATCGCCAACAACTACTGAAAGCTGAACTAAAACCCTGGTTCACGACCACTTCCATCTTGAAGGACACAGGCAACAGATACCACGGCCTGCAAATTCCCGTCCCAGCCACTCGCCATCCTGACTTGAAAATATATCGCTGTTCCTTCACGGTCACTGGATCAAAATCCTGGAATTCCCTCCCCTAGGGCATTGTGGGTCAACCTACAGCACATGGACTGCAGCGGTTCAAGGCAGCAGCTCACCAACACCTTCTCAAGGGCAACTAGGGACAGGCAATAGATGCTGGCACAGTCCGTGATGCCCACATCCCATGAGTGAATGAAAAGAAAACAAGGTGATATCAGGGCCATCTCTATCTCACTGAATATTTCAGCACAGGCTGATGCAAGGTAATTTGTTTTTTTTCTTGGCTGGCGTCAATGAGTTCTCAGTGTGTTCAGCACACTGGGCTGGGAAAAGGAAAATGTTATTTTGCTTCACATCTCGTGGAGACTCGGCACTGCTCGTTGTAACCATTCTCCCCAAAAAGATACGCAGTACATCCTGAAAGAATGGCAAGTTCTGTTGCCTTGGCTGCCTTTTACATCAGCTGCTGGCAACATTCCCTCACCTAACCACAGCCCACTTCCTGCACAGCTTCCCATCAACAGCAGGTACTGTTCAAGTGGCCAGCTTTTCACGCAGCCTGCCCGGCAGCAGAAAACAATTGAACCTTTATTCTAACACAACACACACTTATAGATGTTTGACTGTTATCTGAAGATCACCCTGCCTCCCCCCAGCCTTTGTTTTGTGTATGTGTTTACTCTACCTCGTGTGCTATGCATTCTCTTGGTGTCTGTTGGGCTGCCAATGAACAATCGTGTTCTGTTCGAAAAGTATCCCAAGGCTTTCAGGTCTGGGGGCGGGGACAGGAAAGGGATTTGGGCTTGGGCTTGATGTTGCTATTTTGGTTGCGTTTAGTGATAACACAATGAATCCTCAATGACCAAGGTGCAACATTAGACTGGGAAATCTCTCTTTAATCACACACATCGGCAACAAATAGCAAGTCAGGCTCTATTTTAATGCAGTGCATACGTACGTTTGACAA